TCACAACCTAATGCTACAACGAAAGTAAACCCAAATGATATAGTTTTCCATTACAATTTGCGCGACTATAGTCAAAACAGATTGTTCCAATCAATCCACGACGACCCAGAGCCGGAAGACAGTAGTAAGCGTTATGACGTGTTCGACAAGGCCAAAGCAAATATCGACGCAGAGAGATTTAAGTGGCAACAGCGGTACAACGAACGGCATCAACAACCACAGCGTTATCAGGAAGGCGATCTCGTGATGATCACCGTAGTTCCAGCGGCCACAGGAGAATCGCATAAGCTAGATGCTAAGTATAAGGGACCGTATGTCGTTACGAAGGTATTAGACTATGATCGATACATTGTGGAAGATTTACCAGATGCACCTATTACGCAACGGAAGTACTGCGGCATAATATCCAGCGATCAAATGAGGCGGTGGTGTCAACTCAGCCCAGAACACGAAGACGGAAGCGACGGAAGTGTAACAGATGACTAACCGAGGCCGGTCCATGAAAGTCAGGAGAGGCCGAACTGTAAAAGGCAGGTGATCTAGCAGGCACAGTCGATCGTTGTCAATTAAATAATAAATTTCTTTTCTGAATATATCAGTTTTCTTTTAACTTTTCTCTAATTCAAATGTAACCTTTGCTTGAATAAACAATTTAAACCGAAGATCGGCGTTTATCCTTGACATTATTTTTTCGTTATTTCGCTCTCTGTGAGCGTAATTCTTTAAATTTTTTCATTCTTCTTCTTCCTGATAATTATCTGCTAGAAAAGAAAAGAAACAAAGCCATAAATTCGCCTTGGATTCGTTGTTGTTGTTGTTGTAGCGGCTACAATTGGATTCGTCTTGCCACCTTGTTTAAATTCGCTCGGAAAAAGAACATATCGAGGTGAATAACCGGTCAGGTTGCCCATCTCTAGAATTTAATATTTTATAAATTTCGAGTGTATAAAAAAATATGGGCACTAATGGTAAATTAATATATGTTCCGTTTATTTAGATTTTCATACCCGAAACATAATTTCAGCAGAAATATTGGAGGGTAATTGGGAGAAGGATTTTGTATTAAGTTTAGATAACGCAACTGCAACATCAGCCCAAGGAATAGTAAACAACAGCCATGATTCAATTATGCCTCATTCATCTCAATTTCAGTCTTTGGCAATAAAATTTGCTCATGAGAATAATCTAAAAGCACGTAGAAAACTTTTGGAAATATATAGAAATCATTTAATGAATTTCAAACGCTCCATCCTGATTAACCGTCGACGTTGGCAGCAAAGATTACAACGCCGGCAAGCATTACTGCGATCATTTTTCATGCAGCACATCTTGGAATTAGAGACTAGTTTTTTAGAGCTTATTCCTATTCCGAAACTAGGTAGTATTCAATTAAGAAAGGAATTGCCTAAAGCTCTTTTATTAACTGAAGAGCCTGTCGCGCCCGTCTATATGCGTAAATTTTACGAAGATGTTATGGGAATCAAAAGTGAGGATGACTGGATATCAAATTTTCGTATGCGAAAATCATCGTTCGAATGGATATGTGATCAATTAAAAGAAGTCATGCAGCCTTCGGGGCAAACTTCGCCTTTCCACAAGCTTGCATCTCATGAACAACAAATCGCGATGGGCTTGTACGCTTTTGCAACTGGTAATAATTACGGTGAAATAGCACGTATGTTTCAGATCACAAGCCGCCAAACCATCTACAAATTCATGAAATTGTTTGCCGAAGCTATTTTAAAAAAATGGGGTAAACAATTTTTAACCATGCCAAGCACTGAAGAAGAATATGATGCAATCGGCAATGCGTTTTATAATGCCTCCAATATGCCACCAGTGGTCATAGGAGTGTTGGGTATATGCGAATTGACGACCAAATCCGTGAAACTAAACAGCAATTCAAACGAGTCAGCAAACTCCACAATTATAATGCAGATGCTGATCGATAATAAATTATGGTAAGTTCTTCTGGTTTATTCCTTCTTTATCCTGCCTAATGTGATTTTTATAGTTTTCGTAAAGTAAAATTTGATTCAAATCAGCCAAGTCTATTCCTAGAAGAAACAAACGAGATTTCAAATGTAAGTATGAATCTACAGTGGAAAATTCTACACACATTTGGCTGTGTGTTACGAACAGCATTACTGCAAAACTCAAGTCATGTATTTCTAAAGCACAAGAGAATAAAGCATACCAATTGCGCAACTTTAATAATAATTGGTATTTATCGCAAACGAGTTTCAAAAGTGATACAATTAAAAATTTTGCATTTTTGAAATTATTCGTTAAAAATGTACACAGAGCACGCCGAAACAGCCCTTCATAGGGAGTCTGTCACCAATTACGACGACTCCCGGCCTATGAATATCGTGATCGGAACCCAATCACCACCTGTAGCAGAAACGGAGCTTCGCGTTACCCTGGCCCAGTTACGGTCTGGATACTGTAGCGGCCTCAACAGCTACATGTCCAGACCTGACCCCAATACTAGTAAACCAACGCCCCTCTCCCTTTGGCCCGACTCTGTTGAAACTGCCCATTTCCTGGGCCTACCGTCAGTTGAGCTTGACGACAATGATTGAAGGATTAACCGCATAAGCAGGGCTTAGTAATGCCGCTACAACAATAACAACGGAGCTTTTATTTTCCTTTCAGCCAAAGCGTGAGCAAATTTTTGTTAGAATTCGTTGAAAAAACCCAAGGGTAAAGTTTCCTTTGCCCATATGGTTATCATGTGCTAAGCAATAGTTTTTCGTATTTTCTGATAAACGTGTAATATTGAGTTGTGTCACTTTTGAAGATCTTCGGCGATATATAAACCGAACATGGAACATTACCATATTCGTATCATGATTTAGAAATAAGACTGATGTTTTGCATAATTGCGTTTAATGTTATACATGTAATGATCAAATAATGATTGAAATCAATTAAATTTACTTAGCTTCCGCCAAAGTTAATTAGTGAAAAAAGGGTTTCACGTTTTGTTGTGACGCCAGATACTTACTATCCACTCCGGAAATGGCTCATGCATAAGTACCAAGAACCGGCAGTGCCACACGAATTTGACTTCAATGAAGCAGTGGACAACTTGTTTGTTTTCAGAGATAAGGCTTTGCAACGATTATTTGCCCGGTGGCGCATTTTAAAATGGAACTATGACCTTAATTCTCGCACAATTGACAAAATTGCTCTAGCCTGTTGTGTACTACATAATGTCCTAGAAGAGAACGAAGAACCATTTGAAAAAGAATGGGCGAAATGGATGAATCTAGAAAGCACCAAATTTACAATGAGCACTCGCTTTAAGCCAGTGTTAAATGTACTCCAAGGAAGAGCCTACTCATGGGAGGCAGATGGCGCTGCTGAAGTACGCGAATTCCTAGGTCGCACCATAAGCTCAACAGAAATGTAGTATTTACCAATTGACTGAAGTTAATTTTAATCATCAAATGGGCAACATTCGACCAAGTATGGGTGTGTTTAGAAGTGCATCAATCAAAGCATCAGACGTATTTATTTCTAATCTATAATTATGCATTTCTGAACGCACCCTATTTTTCAACAATGCCAATAAGCAGCAGAATTGTAATATTAATGATAGATATTAAGTCCAAATACATATATTTATTACCAAAAAATATGCAAACAAAGTTGATTTTACTTTTTAGTATAAGCGTTGTGGTGGTCCCATAGAAGATTTAATGTGCAATGAACGCACATTTTGCCAGTTCTTCTTTAAAAGAGATACCAAGAAATTTATAGACAAGTGGATGTTCTGCACTAGCTCATCAGGCTTCATGTTAACGTGGCCTACAGCAACAGACAGGCACAACACCTTCTTCATTTGGAACTTGATGGTTGACTTAACTTCTTCGATTTTGGCCATCATAGATTCAGTATGAGACAAAAGACCAGGGAATTTGCCTGCCTTGTTCAAACCTGGACCCAAAAGACGTGGGATTTGTTTGATCAGCGATTCTGAAGCCAAGAAAGCATCGTACGACTTTGCTAGTTTCTTCACCAACTTCTTGTTTTTGTTCAATTTCTTAAGAGCTTCAGCATCCATGCATTCCACTCCATTAGCTTTAGCCTCGTCGCAATGCTGTTGGTCGCCGAGAACACACACCTTCATTTTGGGGCGAGGGATATGCTTCAACCTACGAAACAATACAATAATTAATAAGGCGAAATGGCACATCTTAAAAAAAAATTTCTTTTCACAATCAGTCGATTTTTATCTACATAGTAACTAAAAGGCTCATAGCTTTCAGGTAATACATGCAATAAATATTTAAACATCATTTCATTCACTTGAAATTACTATATTTAAGGTGGGGACTTACACGATAGATCGTGCTTTTCATCTATCTTAAGAACTAGAAAGCGGTCAATGATAGACCTACTCAGTTTGATTTTAAGACCCTGAGTGAAGGTCCGCCAAAAATCATTTGACTACCTGAGTCTCAAACTATATGCAGTTAAGAAATCATTCCTAATGCACATTGCTCTTCAACTTAGGTGCTCACCCACGTACTTCACAGTTCCGGAGAAACGCTTATCCTTTTGGGGATCGTAGTTTTTGAGACCAATTTGCAATTCCACAGTCTCCAAGAAGCCACGCTTCTTTTTTAGCGAGAACTCCAAAACTCCATTAACCGACTCGTAGAGTGTATCTCGTGATACTTTTGACCTGTAAACAAACCATGAATTAAATAAGATTTTAATCTATAAAATATACGTATTTAAGTACATATTTGTTCAAAATTTAAGCTGAAATTCCAAATAAAAAATAAGCTTTAGAATTATGCCAAAAATCTTGGACTTAATGTAGCAATCTTTTCCAAACTTCTATAGGATATTGATAAATCCATGGAGCTGGTTTTAGATTGCATATAAATACTACTCGATTGTGCTAAAGAAAGCATTCACAAGTAATAAATTACAAAACTTATTAAATCAATGTTTAGGATTGCTTTAAAATCTTCGGATTAACATAAACCAAAATTGTTAAACTTACGCCATGACTGCACTTTTCGACGGTCAATAGAAGAAAGAAAGAATTTGTTGTCCCTTCCTTTGACATTCGTCCAAAGCACTACTGCCAAACGTCGAGATATGCCAATCATAAATTTGACGGTCGTATATGTTATACGGTGTTTACATCAACCCAAAATGTATTCCCACGATGCAGCGATGTATTCTATCGTTCTTGTTTTTACCCATGATAAAAACATTACAAGGTAAAATCATTGAAAGCATGATAAAAATATAGTAAGGTAGAACCGCTGAGAGTCACTTTTAAAATTCTTGACGTTTCCAAACAATTTAATTTTTAAATTTACTCACAAACTCACACACACATTTTCATTTTCAATCTCAAGCAACAACAATTTCGAACAATTTCAATTTTTTATTTTCACTTTTATATGATTTTAAAATGTTGGCAAACTTCAAAAAAAAATCATGGCCGACAAATTGAGAGAACGGTTCTACCTTGCTATGTTTTTATCATGATTGAAAGCCAGGCCAGCAATATAATTATAAAATTCGAACTCAAGCTCACACACACATTCTCATTTTTGATCTCAAACAACAATTGTGAGCAATTTCATTTTTTTATTTTCAATTTTATATGATTTTAAAATGCTTGCAAACGTCAAAAAAAAATCATGGCCGACGAATTGTGAAAATGATTTTACCTTCTAATGCTTTTATCATGCTTGTACCTAACGATATTCCAGGCGGAAGTCTTAGTAGAACAGAAAATGTGGCCAGAATAAATATTATTTCAGATAGTCAGGCAGGGTTAAAGGCCTTACTGCCATCCCTAAATTGGCGCGTCAAGCGTTAAGCAACTGTCAAAAATCCTCATGCCTATACAATTTGTATGAAGCATCCCACAATAACGCGGCGCTAACGCCGAGCAAATGGAATTTTCATTTTTGACAGGGCGTTACGTGTTGAAGTTGGATGCAGAAGACGGAAAGAAAGAGAAGGGACAAAAAAAGTGAAAGAGGAAACAAGAATAAAAACGAGAGGACCTGAGAAAACGTCAAAAATTACGACGCGTTGATTTGGGGATAGCGCGCGCTGACACTCGTTGACAATGGATAACGCAACGCTGAGCACTCCAATTTAGGGACGGCAGTTACCGCCCTATTCCCACACCATTGACAAAACTCAGCGGCTGACTATTGCCTTTACTACTGCGCCGCTGCTGCTGTCGTATGACAATTGTCAGTTTTATTGTTATGACCTACTGAGTAAGTGACAACGGCGAAACAATGTTTATATTGTGTTTTAGGCGCAGCAATTCTGACAATAGTCATATGATGAATTTTGGTTATGGGAATAGGGCGGTAAGACTCTTTTAAAACGGCATCAAGATTTGTGAACAACTGTGAAACTCTTTGTAACTACCTGGGAGTCCACAATAGCGTAATGCTGTCGTGGGTTCCGGGATTTGAAGGGGACGTTAGATATTGAAATAAATTGAAAACTTAAAAACATTTTGTACGTTTTAGACGCCTTTGGTAGGAAGAATAATTGCATACAAAAAAATCGCCGTGTGTAAAGGTGAACTTAGTCAAGAACGCAGAATTTATACTTAAACGCAGTCTGTGTACGCAGAATTTTGTCGATTACTGGAGCCCTCAGTGTTTCTTACTACAGTGTTGCCACTCATCAATGCCTTTTCATAAACTTACCTTTTCAACTACAATTTTTCGTGCTATAATAGCTCGTAGCTAAATATATACTACTTAGTTTTCAACAAAAAGCCTTATTCAATAGTAAATTTCAAATATTTTAAACGTATTTTGAATAGGAAATAATAACTTGCAAAACTGACGACGTGGCAACCATCTGAAATCAGCTCACAGCGAAAAATCCAAATTCTGCAGTTCTCTGCGCTACGGGCTAGAACTAAAGAAAAATTCTGCGGAGTTGAGTTTTCATTTACATGGCGCTCTGGTAAGACAGATCGTGTCAGCTGACTCGGGTTTACGTACCGGTAGGTTTACGTTCTTGACTAATTTCGGCTTTAAACACCGAAAGGGCATATCAAAAATCGCGTCGACAAAAGTTTCCGTGTATAAACACAGACTTTGCAACACCTCCTTGTATGAATTCGCCTTGTTAAAAACCAACAAATAAAAAAAGCGAAACGAAGGGATAATAATTCGAGAGAAAAACGGAAAAAATAATTGGGAATTGAAATTTGTTTATCTCAAAATACTTGTTGGAATCTGAACGTTTCCAAAATATTTGTGCATCAAGATCAAGATTGGTGTGTTTGTTGTGAGAATCCGCATTTCTTCGTTCAAATTTGTTTAGTTTATTATTTAGGATTTATGCCGGTGACAAACACGATGTAGCGAAGTATTCTATCATTCGTGGGTGACAAAAGTATATAAATACATATATATCTATTACATAGATGGTTATGCTAAATTTTGTTCACTGAATCAAATCATTAGCGTGCAGATAAATGGTATTTTTAATGTCAAGTCTAAGTTCCATGGGTAAGACATCGCCTTTCGCCGCTGCCCACGTTTTCCAGTTGGATACCTTTAAGTCCATTTTTCTAAGTTTTAATATTCTATTTGTAAGCAAAATGTATTTATATACTATTACTCACAAAATTGAGCGTACGTTTTTTTGTTAATATTCGCAATGTTTTACCCACAAGCTGATGGCCCCGGTAGCCGATGCTCATATTAACTATTAGTATAAAATTCAGGTACCTATGCAGTTTTATAGCCATTTTTAACCGTCTTCCAAAAAAGGAGGGGGTTATCAGTTCGTCGGAATATTTTTATTTATTATTATTGGCCCCTGTAGCCGATCCTCATATTAACTATTAGTTCTGATATTCATATCGGCACTAAATAATAATAATAATAATACCCACATACTAAAATTTTTTATTTTGTATTAAAATATGGCTTATATCACAGCAAACCCAATTTAAGTCCAAGAAAGAAGCTGTGAACGAAAATTAAGAAAAATCTGCAAAATCTCAGACTTTTTAATAACAATTTCTAAAAAAAATCCAGGTACCTATGCAGTTTTATAGCCATTTTTAACCGACTTCCAAAAAAGGAGGGGGTTATCAGTTCGTCGGAATATTTTTATTTATTTTTTTTTTGTATGTTACCGCATAACTTTGGACTACGTCAACCGATTTCGATAATTCTTTTTGAACGGAAAGGTAGTGTCTCAGAGGTGGTCCCATACTAATTTGGCATCGGCGTAGCCAGAATGAAATTTAGGGGGGGAGGGGGGCTCGACCCTATTAAGCTGGCATTTCAGGGTACTATTTTATATATATACAAGGAAAATTTGAAAGTTAGGGGGTACCAGGCTACGCCCATGTAATTTGGTTTAGATCCGATCATTGAATCATGAAATATATAGATATATATATTTTTTTTAGCCTGTTTTTTTTGCTAAAAATTACTTAGTATAATAATATGCGAATTTCCAATGTCTACAAATTCGG